GAGAATTCCCCGCGGGCAGCCACTTATGTGTAACAGGTAGGGCCAGGGCAGAGACGACCAAAGCTGAGAGTAACTAACTCCCCACCCCCCAATGGGACCATCTGGGGGTGATGCAAAGGCAAAGCACCCAGATCAAGAAGAAAAGGGGGCAGGGGACCCCTGAAATAATAACAGAAAGTGTGTATGAAATTATGCCTTGTGCCAGAATCTAGTCTAAGCTTTGATCTTTAACATCACTGTTCTCACTCTCGCTTCACGGGGAAGGAAACTGAGAAGCAGACAGGTTGAGCTCTGCCCAGAGCCACGAGATCACGCAGCCACCGAAGGATGGAGTCCCCGGTGGAGCTCAGGTGCTCTGCCAATCAAAACGGGAGAGAAGACAAACCATTCCGCCTCCTTGGATTGGTCAAGGACAACTTTGGCGGGGAGGGGGTTCCAGAACCGGGTGGGAGACTGGACATGCCATGATGCGCTCAGAAGCATTTCGGTGTGAATTTTAGTCCCTGCTGGCCTTGGGGTGCCCCAAGTAAGCTGTAACTTCGTTCCTCTCCCTCCCTCACTCCGTCCCCAAGAGCCCTTCCTTCTCTGTCCCCAGCTTCAGTGTCCAGCCCTGGCCCTGCCCACACTGGAGTATTGGCGCCAGCTCCTGTGTATCCCCCAGGAATTCACCTCCCTGACCAAGGTGATAATATCACAAACAAAAGTCTCTCGTGAGTGGTTAGTAGGTGCTAGGTGCTGGACACGTGCTTTGCATATTTTCTCAATTATCTCCATTTTATGCAAGAGGAGGCTGAGCAGCTGTTTTGTCCGAGGTCAGAAAGCTAGTGAGTGTTGGGGCAGAATTCCACCCAGATTGGCCTCATTTCCCAAGCCCCGCACTTGTGAGCCACTGCTGCCCTCTGCTGGGCATGTGGCAGCACTGCCACGTTGTGCTGGACACCACCTTTTTTTACCTAGGCCTCATGCCTGCTGAGAGATAGTATCTATGGGGTGAGAGGTAGGATGGAGGGAGTACTGGTCCCAAAGACACTGCAGAGACCCTCAAATTGCACCAGTGAAAACAAGATGCATTCTTTTTCTATAGAGAACATTATTGGGAAAACTGATGAAATTTGAAATAAGGTTGCTGAACAGTAAAGGGGCTTCAGGCCTACAACTTTGAAATAACTGAAAAGAAAGGTGTGTGTGTGTGTGTGTGTGTGTGTGTAAAGAGAGATAACAGTTAAACAAGTGCATAAGATGCTAACATTTAGGGAATTTGAGTGTAGTATGTAGGGAATTCTTTTACTATCTCACATCTGTAAGTCTGAAATTATTTCAAATAAAAAGGTAAATATTTACACCTTTGGGGAACCCCCTGCCAATGGTCTGGGATTTTCCCTGGTAAGTGGTGGAGTCCGTTGGAGGCTGCAGATTTATTATTTGTTCCTCTTCATGACAAAAGCGACAGCCACGCTGGGCAGGGAGAACAGGGGCCCTTGAGACAACGGGAGGAAGGAGCTGCCTGTTGAAGCAGTAGCGACTAGGGGTCTTCAGTTCCCTGAAGGGCCCCGTGGGCACCCCCACCCCAGGGCACACAGCTATTCACAACCACAGGCAATGATAGGGGACCTCGAAAGGATGGGCTTCCTTGTGTGCGGACACTGGTCAGCATTGCGAAGGGGCTGGCAGGCCTTTCTCGTGAGGAAGAGCGAAATGGGGAGTTTGGGAGAAGGCCGGGTGGGCAGGGAGCAGCTGGTTGGGGGCACGTGAGAAACAGCGTGTTTGTCAGGGGGAGAGGAGCCGGCTCAGTCTGTGAGGTGCTAGAAGGCCGGTGAGCCCAGGGTGGACTTGCCGGGAGGCACGGGCTCCTCCCAGCTCCTGCGGCTCCTGCAGCGTCATTTCAAAGGTCACGCCAGAAGGCTCAGTCAGGACCACCTGAGGCCCTCCCTGGGGACCCTCCAACAGAGGGTGCCGCCCACTCGCGTGAGTGGGAGTGTCTGAGAGGAGACGGACTCTCCCTGCAGGGAGTCCCACCCACACAGATGCTGATCTGGTTGGTCCAGGCTGCGCCAGGGCGTGGCCATTTTTTAAAGCTTCTCAGGTGATTCTAATGGTCAGGCAAGGTTGAGAATCACGACAAGGATCTTTGATCTAGAGGAGTTGAGACCACGCGGACAACGCCAGAGGGCCCATCTCTATTGCAAGAAGAACTTCAGTTGCCTCGGTCAAGTGGATTGACCCTGACTGAACGCAGTCTCCATCTGATGAATGGGTTTTGGCCCTAGAAACATGCTGAAATTTCTGACTAAAGTTGAGAGAAGACATTGAAAGAGGCTCCAGAGTTTTACTCACTCCATGTGAGAGCTCCCTGGATTTTTGTTGATTTGGGGACCCACCGTAACCTTTGGTAAATACGGGGGGGTGATGGTTGTTATTTAGTATGTCGTGGCCAGACCATTGGTCCATTCTCTGGAGCTGTCCACGTCTGGCTTCGTTTCCCGCCCCCACTTTCCCCCAAGAGACCAAAAAGGTAACGATGCCCTTCCTCCTCCAGAAAATGACACGCAGGCCCCTAGGATGCTGCTCCCCTCCCCCTGCCAGGAGGCAGTGAGCAACTGTCAGGTGGGGAGGGGCCACGTGAAGACAAACGCCATCCAAGCCGCTGTCTGGGCCCGAGAGCTGGATTGTCTGAGGCTCCCTGAGGAAGAAAAGATGGTCTCATTGAAGGGAAGAAGGGAGTGCCCCCAGCTGAAAAAAAGTGGACCCCAAAGTCCAGAATGACATGGACCTCACTCTTCTTCACCAGTGATCTGCTCCCATCTCCTGGCTCAGAACAGTACCCACACCCTGACCAGGCCCCTGGACGGGACATCCCTGCGTGGGTATTACACAGGCATGCCAGACCCACGGGGTCCAAAACCAAACTCCTGACCTTCCCCTCTCCTCCCCCTCCCACCCTCCGCCTGTCCTCCACAGCCCGCGCTCAGAAAAATGGCACAGCCATTCTTCCCGTCGCCCAGGGCGGCAACGTCACAGCCATCCCCAACTCCTCCTTTTCTCTCCCGCACTACATAGAAGCCTCCAGCAAATTCTGACGGTCTGACCATTGCTCACTGCACCACCTGCATGGAGCCCCCATCCTCCCTTGCCTGGATTTTTGCAGCCCCCACCTGCCCCCCTGCTCCCACCCTTGCCCCTCTGAGATCTATTCTCAGCACAGCCACCAGTGACTCTGTGAACAAACATTAGGTCAAGTCACTCCTTGGCTCTATACTCTCCAACAGCTTCTCATCCTGCTCAGAGTAAAAGCCAATGAATGGCCTTGGCCTTGTGTAATTACCCGCTCTCTCCCGCACCTCACTTCCCACCACTGCCCCTGCCCATTCACCTGCTTCACCCACCAGGGCAGTTCCTTGAAAATACAGGTGTCTTCACCCTCACTGTGCACCTGCCTGGAACTCCCACCCCACATCCTTCAGGGTGTGTCCACGTGCCCAACCTCTGCCCACGGGGTTGGCGGCAAGGCCATTCCTGATAGCTCTCTTTAAAATCCAACCTCTCCCCAGCAGCCCTCCGTTCCCCCTCCTGGGTACATTGTCTCCACCTGATGTGCTTTTCACAGGTTTGCTACCCTCTCCTAAAACGAGCCCCATGAGGGCAAGGACTGTGTTGGCTTTGTTTGATGCTGTATTTCCAGCGTCCAGATGGGGACATGCACAGAGCAAGAACTCCACGGCACTTGTTGAATGCATGCAGATGGTCAAGGATCCGAGGTGGAAGGTGGCCACTGCAGATGGCTGTGTGGGTACCTAGGGAAGGTGATTCCTCATACCACCGCCAGGGCCTCCTCACAGGGGGCGCATGCACCTCACAGGCCCGGATGAGAGCCTTCAGCAGACAGAGCCCCTGGCTCCTGGTGCGACAGAAGAGAACAAGGCAGCCAGGGAAAATGACTGATGGGTCCCTCATCGTCCATGAAACCCGTGGCTTGGAGTCAGATTTTGTTGGATTTAGGAAGGAAAGTAAATGCTGTGTCTTTTGCACTTTTGAGTGTTAGGAAGCAATTCATTCCACAAGTCCTGCCATTTCAGGGTTCCTGGGGACCAGAGGCAGAAGCCTCTCAATGACCTGGAGGTCCTGCTGGAGTGAGCACTGGTCTGACCGGGCCAGCAGTCGCTCTCAGGACCTCAGACTCAGGGCACCTCCAGCCAGCCACCCACCAGAGCCCAGTCTCACCAGAGCCCTGAGGTCTCCCAGAGCAGGCGGGACCCTATGGGGATGGGCGCTAGGCAGCGGAGGGGAGCCGGAAGGAGGGTAGGAAATCGGGCAGAGGAAGCAGCAGGTGTGAAGGCCAGGGGACCACAGCACCTGGAACAGAGAAGGGTCGTGCACCCAGTGTGGCTGTGAGAGGGCAGACACCGAGTGTGGGGGTCAGAGGGACGGCGTGGGAACCCCACGAACAAGGCTGAGCTTCGACCTAAGGCCACAGGAAGTATCTAGCTGAGAAAGCTATTGTGCAGGGAGTGGTTTAGCAGAGTGGCCAGAACGAAGATGGCAGGGGCTGGCCTTGGTTACAGACGAGCTCGCTCCCAGTGATGATGGGCTTGGGGAACAGAACCCGCGCGGGTGGTGGGGGCGCGGAACACTGACTGGGGTGGGTGTGGGCAGGGCCAGGGTTGGGTTTGCCCACGCACAGCCCACATGAAGAGGCCTCACAGGTACGTGTGGGTTGGAGACATGGTCCTGAAATGGTGGCGTTGAGTGTGGTCACTGGAGCCCCGAGAGTGGGTGAGGACCCGCAGGACAGGGTTCAGTGGGGGGACAGCCGCGGGCAGAATGCCACCATGGAAGGGCCAGGCCGGAGACGAGATGCCCAGACAGGTGGCTGAGGAGCAGCAGCCAAGCCAGGAGAGCAGGCGGCGGGGGCCAGGCAGCATCCTGGGAGGGGACGCTGGTTCCACCCGACCAAGGCCCCACCTCACGCCAAGTCAGCACCCCCCGCAAGAAGCACACAGATCTAGAATTCAGTAGATGTTTATTTGTGTAATAGCAACATTCAATTATATAAATAAGGTAAATACTTCCAACGCACAGTCCATCATGTTCGGACACTGCAGCGGAGAAGAATCTGCATGTCTAACACCCGTCGGACGGCGCACGGAGAGGCCCGGTGCAGCACAGACACCGGGTCTGGGGAAGCAAGTCGGGGGACAGCACAGCAGCTGGGAAACACTCTGAACGCCCTTTCTGGGCGGGTGTTCCTTGGCACAAAGCCAGCAAACCCAGGCCAGGAACCTAATGGAAGTGAGACATCGTGTGCCAGCCCATCAGCAAACGATTTATTTCATCTGGCACAGAACCAGCTGATGGCTCAACCCGGCTGCACCCTCCGGGCACCCTCCAGAGGCGGCAGAGGGCTCGGCCCTGCCCAGTGCCCGGGCGACCCCACAGGGGCACTGTCCGGGGGGCGGGCGGTGCTGCCCCCAGCTGAGAGCCTTCTTCTCTACAGACAAAAAGCTGCCTGGCCCACTAGATGCAGTGGAGAGGCAGGGAGTGCGAGGCCTGATAAAACACGGAGCCGGAAGGACGAGAGGACGAGCCCAGGACCAGTCCGTCACGGCAGCTGCTTACTGAACACCTCCACAACCACGTTCTCCTCGTTCCTGCCACAGTCGTGACTTCATTAGGTAAGTGAAGGGGAGAGACCGGGAAACACACGGGCCTCTGGATCTGGCCTCCACTCCCCGCCCACACCCAGGAACCGTTCACAGTCAAGCCGGTAATTCCAAGTTATTATTCCACTGGCTTGGATTTCACAGGTCGTCTTTGTCTACACCATTCCTTCAATGTGAAGAGTCCTCCACCTCACACACACACACACACACACACACACCCTCCCCATCTCCTCTTCAGAAAACTAAATTACATGTTTTTCACTCAGTCAGGTGCCTTTCTCCCTTTGCTCATGAATGACCCACATGACCCTTTGCTCACCTGCAATCCAACGATAACAGCCCACGTCATATGTCCTCGTGGCCCCCTGCTCCTACCGTTAATGCCATGGAGAAAGCTGAAACACAAGGCCCTGACTCATTACGCCACAGGGGGGTGGGCAGAGCTTTTAGGCTTCCCCTCTGGGTTATAATCTGCTACAGAGGTACTTTCTCTTCTCTTCACTCTTCTGGCTAGTGATGGCCACTTGTACGGGCGCCGCTGCAGGCTCCTGAGCTGAGTGCACCCTTGGCTAGAGGGGGGAAATGGGGTCCTAAGCGAGTCACAGAGACCCTCACCCATAGAGTGGAGGCACCATGGGCAAGAGGACAAGAAGAATGAGCCTCTTTCCCACAGAAAATCCGCCCCAGGGGCAGCAGCAAGTGAGGAAGGCCTCAAGCAAACCACAGCCACCAAGTGTGGGGAGTTTCGCCCCCGCCCCCGTCTCCTTCCCTTTGTCAAGGCTGGCCTTGCGCATAAAGCGCGGGGCACCCGGACACCGCAGGTGGGTGTGGAAGCTGGACTCCTCTCTCAGAAGGTCCGTGCGGTTGCTTTCCAGACCTCGGAGCCCCGGGCTGCGTGCAGGGCAGGAGGCGGTGCAGTGGCTGAGAACCCAGGCTCAGCATTACGGCAACTTAGTATGTGTGTGGCATTTATAAAGCACTATTGTCAGTGTTGTGATTATCACTAATAAACACACTGCTGGTAACTTATTGGCTGGAGAAGAAAAAGAAAAGGGGCCTCAGCAGCTGGGCATTTGGTGGAGACAGGAGGAGAGGGGACAGGGTTTCCAAACAGCCAAGTGGATTCAGTACCCACTGGCCACAGAATCCTGGATAGCACGTTCTGCCCTCTGTTCACAGAAATCATCCACGTGTTCTAAAAATCCCAACACTTTGGCATCCAAAGTACCTCCCAAACTGCCCGTGAAAACACGGCTCACACACAAACAGGTAAACAACTGTATGGACAGGCAGCTGCAGATAAGAGCAGTAGCCTCCACCCATCGGAAAGCCCAGGTGGGCAAGGTCGCTTCTGGAGGAGGGGGCGGTGGAGCAGTGCTGGGAGCAACAGGGAGGTGGGGCCCCTTTACAGTGATGCAGGTGGCAGCCGGGGACTCTGTTGCTCACTGAGAATGGCCAGAGGCGGCCCTGTAGGGCATGTGGGTGAGCAGGGTCCAGGACCCAGAGGTGAGCCTAGAAGACGACTTTAAACCAGGCTCTTTCATCAACACTCCGTCCAAATGCCAGCACCCTCGGCGGGTCGTGCCGCAAGGCCTCCACCCAACAAAGGAAACCAAGCCAGGAAGTGGGAGCTGTTCACCTCTGTAAAAACTGGGAGCTGGGCCACCGACCGTGTGGAGAGACAAGGGAAAAGGAAGTTTGCTTTGACTGAGACAAGGACGGAACAGTGAGGCCCTGCCCGAGAATCAGCCCCTTTCTTGGCAGTGCCGTGGCTGGGATCCCAGTCTCTGACATCACAGCAACTTAGGTGCAAATGACCAGCTCCGTGCAACAAAAATAGCCACCATTTACTGAGCACTTACTACGTGTCAGGTGCTGTGCTAAATGCTTAACGCGCATAATCTCATAAAATCCTCACAATCCCACAATGAAGGTGCTGCTGTCAGACACAACTGGGCCACAGGTGCACTTAGGAACCTGCCCAGGCCTAAGGCTGTTTGAACCCAACATCCAGCTTCTCAACCACTGCGCTCAGCCCACCCCGTTGCCTTCGTGATGGTTTGTTCCGGCAGCTCCTTCAGAGCCCCTGCTACAGACAGTACAGTGTGCGTCTGCACACAGTTCACTGTCTTGTGACGTGACCACGACACTCACCCAGACATCCCCCTTTAGCCCTTCCTTCCCACCCTGACTTCAAAAGAACAGGAACCCTGGATACAAGTGACATCGCCCCTGTCCACCCACCCTTTTCTCTGCACATCAGTACAAGGTGGGCACAGAGGTGAGTTACTCCAGAAAACAAAGGGCAATGGTGACGCAGGAACAAGTTTCCGCAATGACAGATCACATTGGCAGAGTAATGGAAATACACTTCCTTACAAAACTGACCTTGGGCAGGCCACTCAGGGAACAAGGCCACTGCGCAGCTTTCCGAGCAGTGACGCTCTTCACCTTGAGTCACCCATGTCCTCCCCCGACCCACCCCTGTCACATCGGGGACGCCCCTGGGCCTGATGGGACACTCTGAAGAGCAAAGATCAAGGATCCACTCAGCCACTAGCAACTAGCTTAGACTCAGACCCCAGGGTTTGCTCAGTCTCCCTGAAAGCATACTTTTGGAACTTTCTTGCATAACATAAGTCAACTAACAGGCTAAGAAGCCCAGTGGAAAAAGATAAATACCATAAAACGGACTTCAAAAGTCCATATGTAAAAAGTTAAAAGTTACAGTCCGCCCCTTCTGAGACACTAGTTTCAAATATACATTACAGAATTATACAACACTAAAAGTAAATGTGTCTTAAATACAGTTATACTAAAGCTACTAAAATGTTCAGAATAGAAATAGGCCCAAAATAATCAATATAAATAAGGTCCGGGCTGCCCTGGACAGTTCTACATTCAGGAGGAAAATGTGCATACTTTTATCATGCTGAGGAGGCATGCGCCCAGGAAGGGAAAACACACAGGTGCCCTGTGAGAGGTGACAGCAAAACTCACCAGGGAGGATGCCAGGCTCAGCTCAAGGTAGAGAAGCCCTGGTTTCTGTGACGCCTGGTCCACAAGCTCCTTTATCCCACTGCTCAGGAGCTAACAGCAACTGAAGCTCCTCCCTGGAGGGCAGGTCAGGCCTCCTACACTTGAGCGAATTTCAGATGCACTTACGCCACTTCTACAAAGGCAGTGGGGCTGGGGACAGCCTAGTCCTTGCCCTGGCGGGCGGACGGTAAGATGGAGACTCGACTCCACCACGGGACCCTCGGGACGCTCTCTCCCGTCTCCGGCAGAGTGCCCGCGAGTCTCGCCCGAGGGGGCTCGGCAGGTTGTCATGAGAATGTATGTGATTCAAACTGGAAAGCAAAGCAAAAATCTCTAAATCAGGACGGCACAACAGTTACGAGTACCACATAAGAAAGTCAAGCACGGAAGGGAGAAACTGAATTCACGACAAGGGAGGGCACACAGTTTGTCACGTTTATTTCTCACACACGCACAAAATGGATGCGAAGCAAGTTACGCCATTAAGATCGGCACAGACAGACGTGAAAATAATTTTCTGAATCTGATCTGAAGGTGGAATAACATCAATAAATGGGAGCAAGAAAAGCACTGTGCTACAAAGACACAAGGTAGCCTGCTCTCCGGGCTACCCCGCTAAGAAACGCCTTTTATTCATCAGAAAGAATGTGGAGAAACCCCCCAAAAAACAAAACCCAAGCTGGCCCTCTGGCCTTCTTGCTGGCAGCTCCGGTGAGCAACCACCTTCAGCTTCCCAGGACCCCCCCCCCAGACCCTCAGACCACATCCTGGGGGGGGGGGGGTGCCAGGCACCCTGACGCAAACACAGCCCTACCCAGGAGCGGCTCCCTGCTGCCGGGCTCCGGCTGACACTCCCTGTGCCCAAGGACCCCACCACGTGTCCACAAGGAGGCAACACAAGACCAATGAGACTTTCTGTCTCTGGTTCAGGAGAACAAGTTCATTCTTCAGTAAGAAAACTAGATTCATGACTAATCAGCTCCGCTGTTTAATTCATCGCTGAGATACCGCCTCATCTTCAGGATAAACATTCGGAAAGGACCTGACAACACTTGCTTTTTGGGTGCCCGGGACATGACTCATCACCCACAGCTGCCTCTGGCCGCACGGACTTGCCCGGCCAGGTCACAAAACACTGGGATTAGGGGACAACTCAAAAACAAGGACCCAGACAGTGAGGTGCCTGTCCTGCCGGGACCCACAGCCAGGACTAAAGCCGTGTGAAAACACATTTTGTTCTGGAAGGACTTGAACCTGAAAAAGGAAAGCTGTGTGCTAAATGGAAGTAAAAGTCCCGAAGGAAGAGGCTGCCTCAACGCTGCACGCGGGGGCCAGGCCGCGCAGGGTCTGCAGGCTGAAACGCCGCAGGGCTCAGCCCCGCGCCCCACGCTCCGGGGATCCAGGCTGCGTGTGAGCTTTCAGGGAGGCAGAGAGCCTGATTCAAACAGAAACCGAACAAACTCCCGCCAGGCCAGGGGCTCTGGAAGCCATCGCCCCCGCATTTGGCAATGAGAACAACTGTGGCACAGAATCACTGAACCCCTTTGGGCGCCGAGTTCTCTCCTGTACCCTCCCTCCCAAAGTCAACCTCTCTCTTATCATTAAGAAGGGAAACAAAATTAATCACAGTTTTCTTCTTTTAAAAAAAGGTCCCCCAGTAAAATACAAACTACATTGAACTAGTCACATTATATAAAAAGTGTGCATTTAATCTTCAGAATAGCCAAACCGCTAATGGGGTTGAGTTTCCCAGAGTTTTAAGCAGGACTCTATGGTTTCAGTGAAGAAGTCGTGGTACAACTGAAATCACTTATTAAGAAGTGATATTTAAAACACATACACAATACACATTTGCCTTAGGAGTAAAATATATACAACACAGCAGCTACGTGGGTGGGTGGTCAGGCAACGGGGCACAGAGGAGAAGCCCTCTGCTCGCTGCCCAGCAGGAAAGCCCCCAGAGAGGATTCAGCAGCAACCAGTCTACATACCGCACAGACCTGAACGCCGTCGTCCCTGAAAAGACGCAGTTGGCTGGGCCGCCCTCCGGGAGCCGCCAGAGCCCGGACACGTGGCGAGGGGCTCGGCTCCGGTACATTCTACTGCATACACTTGAAATAGTACAGTGTGGTTGTTGTTTTTTTTACCAGACTATTATAAATAATTTTTTGAGCTTTCTCAAGAAAACTTCTCAGTCTGTGATGAAGCAAGATGAACCCACAACATAAAGCAGAGCTCATGTTCCACACAGGATTTGATGTGGACAGAATGCTTATCTGATACGTAAGCCTTTATCCCTCCAGAAGGCAAACCCCTGGAGCTCCAAGGCAGGGATTACAGAGCAGCACAGACACCCACACCTCACACCTCTTCCCTGCAGGTGGGGGTGGGGGTGGGGGTGGGGGAGTGGCAGTACAAAGACCAGCACGGGCGCCCGGAGCCCACTCGGACCGTGAATGGCCACTCTCTCAGCGAGCCCAGTTCGACCAATGAAACCGAGAAGCGCCAGGCAGCCACTGCTGAGCCAGGCAGTGCTGTCCTCCAGGTTTTTAAAACTTCTGTTTCAAAAAAACCAAATGGTTTCATCCCCATGACTTCTTCCCCACTCAAAGCTGTAGTTTACTCACAACCCGAATCATAAGCACGTAGACAGTATGTACAGAATCTTCTTACAACCCACAGGTAAAAAACACTCTACCAAAAATTTTAAAAAGAAAAAGACAGTGAGTTGAAGCTGTGCCGTCGTCTAGGTCACCCCAGCTGGGCTCACCCAGGAGCCCTGGCCCCTCGCTCAGTCCTGCTCGACACCCCACCCCCGGCCCCGCGAGGGCCCTGCTAGTTCTCCGTGGCCTCCGTCAGCGTCCCCTTCTCGGTCAGGTGAGACTTGAGTGTGTTGAAGATGTGCAGCTGCTGATCCGGCCGCAAGGTCATGAACTGCTGAATGAGCTTGCTCGGGTTCGGGCCCCTGGAAGACAATGTGACCAAGTGGCACCACCAGGGCCCAGCAGTGTCTAGGGCCTAATTACCCAAGCGACTGCTCCCCGCTCAGGACTCCCTACCAACAGAGTGCACGGGGGCTTCGGAAAATCCACAAATAGTAGCAACAGACAACTGCATTTATATTTGGGATGCTTTTCACTGAAGCTGAGATGTAGCTAAAATTCTAGAATTTCACCCATTTAAAAATCTCCCAACCTGGGTCAGATGGAAAGGCACCGTACCTGATAAAGCTGGCGATGTACACGTTGACAAAGGTGGCCATCAGATACTGGCAGTCGAAGCGGTCCATGATGCCTCCGTGGCCAGGAATCGTATTAGCAAAGTCCTGTCAGAGGCAGGAGAAGGACTGGTGAGCCCGGTCAGCCAAAGCCAAACCCTGGCCTGCGGTCCCACCTCAATGTCCAGCTACCGTCCCGAGTAGCTGAGGGAGACAAAGTGAGATGTAAGCATTGATTCAAATGCTGAGGCTATAATAGGACGTGCTCTTATTCAACTACAAAATTTTTGTAAAGAAAGATGTAAGATATTAACAAATAAACAAAATCCAACTACTAAATTTTCTAGGAAACATCACCTGTAGTGTCTGGTGACACTAGACCAGAACTTGGTAAGTGGTAGGTCCTTAAAAACTTGGTGCAATGTGAAATCTATCTAACCTGCCTAAGTCCCATGTATAGGTGAGAGCACACAGCAAGAGCCTAGTATTTTGAAGGAGGTGGTGGTTGTGGGGGGGGGGGGCAGAAGACAGGTGAGGATGGGCCTGGCTGAGAGACAATGAGAGGAATGGAGAAGAGGGTTTTCCTACTTTGATTTTAAAGGCTCGTTTGAATCCACTTGCAAAGAACCCTCCGAAGGGGCCGATGAGCGAGGCAAAGGTGGAGAGGGCGATGCTGTGGATCTGGAAAGGGTACATCCGGACGATCTTCTGAAGAATAAATGAAGTAAAAGTCAAGATGCCTACTACAGGCACAGCCTTATTACAGGTTACCAAAAATCACTCTTTCTTCAGCTACCTATATTCCCCCCTCCCCTTCCTGAAAAAGAACATAATTAGTAAAAAGACTGTTTTTTTTTAAACCTCTGTTCTGGTTGAAGTATATGAAGAAAATCCAGCCTTACACAGATATGCAGTTGAAAAAGGAAGAGTATTTTAGTACCATCTTTCCAGATAATTATGGGTATTTTTTGACACGACACCAGAACTTGGTAAGTGGTAGTTCCTTAAAAATTTGGTGCAATGTGAAATCTGAAACCCTATCAATGAACTTTCTGTACCTTCAATTAAAACCCACTGGTCTATCTGGCACTTTGCATGGATGTTTTACCATGTGTGACTATGTAACCTCATGCACTGGCCATTCAGAAAATACTGGTTTACTGAGTCATGTCAGCCTTCCAAATGTAGACACAGTTAGTCGTATAATGTCAAAACACTGTACATTAAAATTACCACAGATCTCATTAGAAAATTCTTTAAATACTAGGAAGCTATCAACCTCACAGAAGGCACACACTTTCTAAAATTCTACTTTCACATGAAAATCATTTTATCATTATTAACAATGATTGTCAGCTGTTTTCCTTGAAGTGACAGCCTCCCTTCATTCATTTCCAGGAAAAATGTCTGTCAATTACCCAAGTCTAAAACACTATAGTTTGTCAGTTCTTTTCAAGTAAAATTATATTTTTATAAAAAAGCCACAAGGTCAGTTCATAAGCAAGTGCCCACAAGTGGGCCATGTAAATAATCGAGTACTATGGTATTTAGCAGAAGAGTTTTATGCATACTTTTCATTTTGAGACAAAGAGTATTATTAGAAAGGTACGTATTCAAGGACCAAAATTTAATAAAATTAGTAATTTTACTATTTCACCAAAGCCACTCTACAGAGGAACCGGCTCATTCTCCCCGCAAGGGCGTGAGGAACCCAGTGACTTAGGCCACTGGGTGCCACACCTTCACTCAGGCTGCGTCTCCAGCAGGGGGACCCCCGCTGCTTCTGTCAACAACGTGAGCAAGGCAAATGATGTCACTGTATTACTATGAAAATAGTTGTGACCTCACAGACCCCCTGAAAGGATCTCAGGGTCCTCCAGGGTTCCCCAAAGCACACTTTGAGAACCACTGTTCCTAAAGATTTGAAGTGAGAAGTCTCCTCCTGTCCTCACCATGAACTGACGTAAACAATCCCCTTCAGCCTGGGGCCTACAGCTTTGGGGACAGGAAGGTGACTTTATGAGAGAAGGCAGTGTGGAGAGGGGGGCGCTCCCTGTAGTCACCAAGCCACTGAGGTCAGTTCGCTCCATGGGAGCGGCACATACCCAGCCAATGGCCGACTGGATCACCTCGGGAATGTTATACTCATGCAGGCGGAACAGGTCGGAGGGCTCACAGTCCACAGTGAAGCTGTTGGTGTCGTTGTTGTACTCCACGGGGCAGACAAAGCATCTGTACCCAGACATCACGTAGGACAGCTGAGGATGAAGGAGAGAGAGACAGGCAAAGGAGACGGGTTCCGCCATCCTGCCACGGCAGCAGGCACCTGGTTTGGCCACGTCCTTACAATGCCCACGCCCTCTAACTGCAAACTCGCACTGAATCAGGGGCTTAGGTTGCACCTCAGGTGTATTTTCCCTGAACTGGGGTGGGGGGCAGAGGACAGTTTGCACACACACTTGCCCAAACACCCAGGTCCTGAATGACTCCAGGAAATACCTGAGAAATGCAACGAGAGAACTACAGAACTTTCTCCCTACTTGGGGGAGCTATAATACGCGTTCTCAGGATCTCTTAACTGGGTGCTAAGCAGAGATGGGAAGTCGGGAAATGGTACAGGGAGAGGCAGGCAGCCAGGAGGAAGAAGACTGAAGAGCAGCCAGGTAAGGAAGCTGGGGCAATGAAGGACAGATGGACAACACTACTAAGGGGAGACCGGCCCAGGGTCAGAGCAGGGAATGGTGCTCTTGAAAGTGTTGAGAGAGGCCCTGGCTGGTGTAGCTCAGTGGATTGAGCGCGGGCCTGCGAACCAGATAATCACGGTTCGATTCCCAGTCAGGGCACATGCCCAGGTTGCAGGCAGGTTCCCTGCAGGCCAGTTCCCAGCAGGGGACGCACAAACGCAACCATACATTGATGTTTCTCTCCCTCTCTCCTTCCCTTCTCCTCTAAAGATAAAGATAAATAAATAAAATCTTTAAAAAAAAAAAAAGAAAGAAAGAAAGTGTTGAGAGACCATCCACTTCTGGTCAGGGTGCACAAAGGAGAAAATCTGAGCTGGAGCAGCATATCTCACCCCACCCTTTACTCTCCAATGCCAACCACCTTGACCTTGAAATATCAAACGCCTGGACAAGTGCGCCACCTGCTGGGTGCTGCACACCCCGGCGTGAGAGAAGTAACAAGGTGTGCATGGCCTCTGCTCCTCCAGGGCCAAAACTCTGCTTGAAAACTGGCTGGTGAAGCAGCTGGTGCTGCCTGTGCCAGTTCCAGAGCAGGCCGTGCTGGTGCCCTTCTTCAGGGCGAGGCTCCATCCAGTAGGACAGAGTCCTTGGCCTTGGGAGACATGCTCTCTAGCCCTGACAGGCTTTGAAGACGCCAGTCACTTCCCCAGTTTGGGGCCACTGTCATTCCCCCAACCCGGCCAGGAGCCACCACCTACCAGAAGGCCAAACAGCACAGTGGCAAAGAAGCCCCCAATGAAGCCTTCCCAGGTCTTCTTCGGTGATAGCTGTGGGCAGAGAACAAGTTCTTGGCAAAGGGTGTTTTGATATCTCTGGCTTTGGGAACAATGAACACTTTTTTTAAAAACCTCCCTCTGTTCATTACCTCACCTTCTAAAATACCCCACACTTGGCTTTCTTGTTCCCTGACTGATTCCCCTCAGTTTCTCTCCTGCTTTAAGTGGTCATTTAAATCATTTAATAATTATATTATAAAACAGTATACTAATTAAGTAGCAATACTCAAATTCAGATCAAAGCCCCCCAAAATCTGCTTTTACAGTGTATAAAATATTTTATTAGCTCTTTTTTACCTATGAGTAAACTGTCAGTGTTTCCTTTGTTGTTGTTTTTTTTCTCTAAAAACTAATTCAGTACCGGCCTTTTCTCCAGGATGACGTGAAACATACAAACCAGCTAGACCTCCTGTCTCCCGGGCTGATGTGCTCGCGGTGAGAGCATCATCCCTCGTTCATGGTGATACCGCACGTTTGCATCATCCACTTACCTTGATGAGGGGGGTCCGACCGAAGAAGAAGCCAAACATATAGGCCATGATGTCGTTACAGATCACACAAGAAATGGGGACAATGAACCTACAAAATAAACCAAAGGACCAACTCTACCAATACAGTAATGCCTTAAAAGTCCACAAAAACAATACCATTCAGACGTTCCAGTACCAAAATAACACAGAGAGGATCTGTTACCCATTAAGGCGTAATTTTTTAAAAAGTAAAATATCGAACAAGCCATTCGGCACATAGCAGGCGTTCAAATGTTTACTGAATGACCACAGAACAAGTGAAGGTGGCAGTCTATGAAACGTCATTCGTCCCTGTGTCATTATAAAGCAACTATCTACACAATAGTACCAATCTAAACTGTGAAAAAATAAAGGTTTTCCTTGTTTCTCCCACCCCTATCTCCATTCCCCAAAATAGCAGTTTTCAATCATGTCTGGTTTTTCTCCCAGCAGTTGCCTGCCTAATTCTAATAAGTAGTGTATTTAGTCTATTTCATAATTTAACACTTTTTAAAAACTGTGCATTACTATGAGCTTATCTAGTAAGCCCCGCCCTTCTCCAGGACGACGCAGTGGGCAAGGCTACCACCCAGACACACAGCTAGATTTCTTTTCTGCCCCCCCCACTGCTGGTGCGGTCATCCCCTCATAAAAAGGGGGCGGTTTCCACACTTGCACCAACCCCTCCCCTCCTCACTCTCCATTCTGACAGTCGCATTTTAAAAATGTCCTCTACTACAGATTTACACATAAATCTCAATTTCCTGGCCCATCTACTACAGGCAAAATTTTCTGACTTGCTGTTTGTTAAGGGAGGGATTTAGAGCTTCTGTATTCACCCAACCCCCCTCCCCCACCGCAATATTTACTCTGTGGAGGCTTCTAGCACAGACTCTGTGCTCTGCAACTATAATTAAGTCTTGCAGGTTGAGTCTGAAAAGCAGTAACTAGAGATTTTAGTATTACTCACTGTAGAGGCAAGTGGTATATCTGGCCCTTAAAGATGAGGACTTAGCATGGATCACTGTCAAAAAACACTGAACAGAGACCTGGCTGGTACAGCTCGGTGGATTGAGCGAGGGCTGTGAACCAAAGGGTCACTGGTTCGATTCCCAGTCAGGGCACATGCCTAAGTTGCAGGCCAGGTTCCCGTTGGGGGCATGTGAGAGGCAACCACACACTGATATTTCTCTTCCTTTCTCCCTCCCTTCCCCTCTCTCTAAAAATAAATAAAACCTTAAATTAAAAAAAATTTTTAACTGTTTCTAAAAATAAATAAATAAAAACCTTAAATTAAAAAAAAAAAAACCCAGAGCCAAAATTAAAAAAACAAAAAAGAAAGAAAGAAACACGGAACAGAAACTCAAAAAGAAAGGAGCCGTATGCTCCCAAATCCACTATAATTGTTTTAACCATAATAATGCCCATAACACTTATATGGGCTCGTCTCTGTTCTAGGTACTTTACATGTATCTACTAATCTAGTCCTCAGGAGGTGGGGAACACTACACCTTCATTCTGAGATCTGGAAATAGAAGCCCAGCCTGGGGCCTTACCCAGAATGCTTTAGTACCTCTCTTACATACACCAGGCTAAACTTCACCTCTCCACTGAGACCATCGGCTTCTTCAAGCAGCCTTGTGATTTTGATCTATGCTGATAGAGTTCCTGTTGAAACCACAGCATTTCTGAATAAAATCTTCTAAGTAGCAGCACAGCCATGTGCAGCCTAACTGTGGGGACACCATTCTGAGAAAAGTGCTGTCCAGTGCACTCACTCACACACAGAGTGCACTCACACACAGAGCGCACGCACACACCGGGTACACACACAGACAGAGTGCCCTCACACACAGAGTGCACGCGCAGACAGAGTGCACTCACACACAGAGCGCACTCACACACAGAGCGCACTCACACACCGGGTCCACGCACACACCAGGTGCATGCACACAAACCAAGACGGCACAGCCTGCTATACACCTAGGGTGCTGCTCAGTAGCAGGGGGAAATAATTTTGCCTCTACCCTTCTGGCTCTGGGCTGACACATCCCTGTAATAAAAGACACATTAATAGAAGAAAAACAAATACAAGTTTAAAAACTTTTATGTAAACCAGGAAAACTGAGTAACTGGACAAAATAGCTGAAGCTCCCAAATTGAGTATCATCTTCAGCTTAAGACAAAAAAAAATTCTAAGGGTCAGGAGAGCTGATTACAGGTCATCAGGGAGAGTGAAGTAAACAAGGGTAAGGCTGTTATGCAGACTCAAGTCCACCCTCTTCTGCACTGATAACAGTTAGTACAAACAAGGTCATCTCCCTCTTCTAGGTACGGCAGGGAGACACTTACGTGGAGATTTCCCCTACAAATGTAAATGTATTTACAACAGGGTAACTGCTACTTGGTTTTCAGAGCTCCTCCAAGTCTGTTATTTCTTAAAATTAATCAGCCTCAGGTAATAGTTATGCCAACAAGAGGTATTTTGAAGTGAGAAAATTCTGTTCCCCTACAGCTCCTTGGCCACAAGTCTGCACAGTACACTACCGTACCAGCTACTGTAGGCAGTTGTAACACAAGGACAAGTATTTGTGTAATGCATCACACTACAACTTCATGAGGTGACAGGAATTTGTCAGCTGCATTGGAACCGCCATACACAGGTGGTGTCACTAACCAAAACTGTTCTGAAGTGGCAGGCAGGTGACAGCACGTATTCTCCTGACACAGGCCAGAAGCCACTTGCCAACAGTTTATCTAGAAAGGTTTATCTATAACCATAAAAGAAATCCATTTATCATTCTTGTTTCTCTCTCCCTATGCTTATCAGCTTTAGTATTACGGGTTAGATACAACTCAGCTTTTATCTCTAGTCCTTTTTCCAGGTGTGGATTCCGACACAATTGTCAATTGTTCTACAGTTGTTGATCTATTAAATTTTCTTCTTCATGACATTTAGTAGTTTATCTTATGCCAGGAAATCATAAAAGATTTCCTCTAGGATTTCAAATTTCTTGCCATACAGTAGAACCACCTTTGATTTTTTTTTTTTAAATATCCGTGTACCTGTCAGTCTGGAACTGTGGTTCTCAAAGCGTAGGCCCTGACCGGGAATACCAGCATCACCCAGGAATGCACTGGTAATTCAAATTCTCATGCCCCACCCCAGATTTACTGAAGCAGAAACTCGGGGCTGGGGCCCAGGAATCTGTTGTAACCAGCCCCGCGAGGGATTCGGATGTAGCACAAGTGAGAAACACTGCCCCAGAAGGTACAGGCACCTGAGAAATACCCACGAAGCAAAAGGGAAAATTCCCTCACTGCCGTCACTCACCAGATCATCCCTTCAAACAGGTTGTGGATAACGAGATGTGACTGGGTGACAACAATCAGTAACGTCACATGGGTCCAGCCGAACTGCAAAAGGAGAAACAGAATCAGTGTGCCTTGAAAGGCAACAGCCAGTACCATATAGAAAGCTGCTGAGAGTCAGCTTCTGCAGATATCATCTCACTGGAAGTGAAAAGGCACAGAACAGGCCTGCGGGAGAAACTCTGTCCCCCAGCGACAGTCCCCACAAAAAGGCAGGACCGCATGGCTTACTAGTGAGTAAATCCTTCTGTGCTCTGAAAGCCTGGGTGCTTCTGAGTATTTACTGAGTGACTGAGGGCTCCGAGAGGAAACACCTTCAGTTTGGGAACTCGATTTAGGACAGGACAATGCCTGAGGCCTTAAGGCAGGAGAGTAAGAAACTAGGAAATTCTTTAGCAAGTGCAACGATGGAAACTGAGACAGTTAAACAAGATGCTAACGAGTCACAAGATCTTGTCTTCCCTGACCAAGAACACTTAGGAGCAAATGGCTTACATTTCTCCTCCCCAACAAGAGAGGGAGCAGCTTGGATCACCTAGTCAAGGTGATTTCTTAAATCTCCGGGTCAAGGAGACAGATAACAGAGACTCAGACGGCGCTACCAGTGCCTGCCAAACCCAAGGATGAATGAAGTCCGAAAAACAAATAATTTAAAATATATATATATATATCAGAGCCAGACCAATCTGAGATAAAAGTAAAACAGTGAAGTTGACCAGAAAATGATCCCGAACTCCCCTACACACCCATTTCGATGTGTCGGCATACTAAAGAACACACCCGAAAAGCTGTTGAATATTCTTTTGAGACCCTCCTAAGTCCTCCCCTAAAATTCCCACCTACAGAAAACAGGTAAAAACTCAAGACAAAGGACCCAGTGTGTGCCCTGTGCATGCCTCCACGTCTTTCGTCAGGCATGTACTCTGCTTTCCTCTAAGCCCTAAATAGGCCCCAGGAGACTCACAACCAGGAGAGCAGCAGGTGGTGGCAGCTTGTCCCAGGCTAAGCCCCTGAACCCCATCTCCAAGGGCCCTCCTTTTGTCTCTGTACCTTGTTCCCTGACTCTGTGTAGCTCAGTGTGACTCTATTACTGTGACTTCCTTTCCTGAGTCCACGCAGCCCACTGTGGCTCTTCTGCCACTTCTGTTACTGTGATCTTTCTTGCACTGAGGCAGCCCAGCCTAGGTGCACTCCTGTTGCTATGATCTTGCCTCTTCCACCCTAAGCCCTTCCTTTGTTTCACTGTCCCCAGCTTTAATAAACGTACTCTCAAAATCACCTACACTCGGGTCATGAACTCTTTCCTACACAATGTCAAGAACGCATACATCCCAAACCAGGCCCAGGTGGACCCGCCTCAGTCCCAGTCCCTTGCTGGTAACAGTGCCACAGTGAGTCCTACTTGAAGCCCACTTTCTGCAGGACCTAGTGGAGAGATTGCTGAGGGTGTAAAGTAAGCAGCAGTGATCAGATCTAAGTGGATGTACAGCTGCCAAACTTAACAGGCTCCCTTCCTTCATGCTCTGGGTTCCCAAAACATACACAGCAGACTGCACTCAAGTTTTGATTTCTCACAGAAAGGATGAGAGATCTGTCGAGTTTCTGCAGAACTTCATTTAAGCCAAGACATCTCACACACACACACAATTTCCCTTACCATGTAGAACTGCAGGCGGTAGTGCTTCTTGACCAGACTCAGTACAAACATGCAGAATCCTGGTTCCGGGAAGGAGTAAAAAGGGCAAAATAAATCACATTCTGCATTTCCCTTTGTCCTAGTCACTTCCTGTGGCTGGGTACTTGATCGTGATTGTGATCGTTTGGCCAGTTTCCCAAAAGCAGTGAACCAGTGCACAGTCCCAAGCCCCGGGCAGTGCAGTGGGAGGAAGACACAGAACGACCCTTCAGATAGGAATCGGAAGGGAAAAAATCACCAAGACAATAAAAGGAAGGCAGTATCTTTAAATCTTGCAGAGTGCACTCAATTTAGGCTGGTGTTCACCAGATAAGAATATTTTGACCCAAGAGCAGAGGCCAACAAACAGGCCGATGCCCGATTCTGTAACTAAAATTTCACCAGAACCCAGCTGTGCCCATTTGTTTACATATCATCTGTGGTTGCTTTCGTCTTCCAAGGGAAGGCTGGGTAGTTGCAACAGAGACCCTGGGCCCCCAAAGCCTAAAATATTTATTAGTATCTGGACTTTTAAGAAAAACTTTGCCAACCCCTGTTCGCAGACACGTATGATGGCAAAAAAAAATACCTGCAGCCCCCACCCCTTCTCCAGGAACAATGAGGACCTTGACCCCCTCAGTGTGTTAGGCCCCTCAACAGCAGTTCTGCCCAGAAGAGAGCATGTCACCATCCCAGACACCCCTGACTCCCACTGGGGGGCTGCTCCCAGGATCTGAGGCACGCCCTCTGAATGTCCTCAATGTCTGCAAACGCCTCAACAGTGGATTTTGTATTTTAACACCCAGGTGTCATTCACAGAGCTGATCAAAAATAGCTCAGAGAAATTTAGGTCAGAACAACTTTCTCACGTGCTCCGAACTAGCTGTCAAGGCGACAATAGAAGACACTGGCGTTATCAGAACCAGTGCACAGTCCGAACTGAGTGTGGACTGACCAGCACTTTTCCGTCTGTCAAGTTCTAATACACAGGATTTAACCCTCACAGTAAGTCTGCAGTTTTAGCTGTAGGTTACAAAAGGGCCCCCTGAGATGCAATTAAGCTCCCAGCCCCTGTGAGGTCCCAGAGTCTTTTAAAACCCAAATCAGTAAAATTCCCACCACCCTCCAATGTCTGTCCTGCAAGGCGAACTCCTAAGAAGACACTCCTAAAGACAGCTGCCTGTTTTGATACCTAAGTTACACAGACAGGTGGTTTTTGCTCTGGTCACAACGCAGAATCGCTGCAGGCAGGGCCACGCCTTGCCGCCCTCGGACAGAGGCTGGAGCACAGGCGGCACAGACCACAGTCCCCACAGCCACATATGAGCCCCCGCAGTCTCACTGCCCTTACTTGCTGCAGCTCAAGGAAGGCGGAGCCCTCAGCTCTGCTGCTCTGCATGGTCAGTTAACCATCAAAACTTCACATCAACCAAGGGACCCCCCCAACTCCTACTCAGCAGACGACAAAACACACCAGACACAAGAACTGGTGAGTCGTTCAAGGCATACCTATCAGGTAGAGAGTAAAGGAAATGAAGCGGTGGTATTTGCTGAGAATGCGCAAGGGCTCCTCTCTCTGGACCAAAGTGAAGAAATAATCCGTCACTGTTTCGCCGTAGAAGAAGTAATTTACACACAGTAAGAAGTACCTGTAAGTGAAGACAAGTCACTGCCACGAGCGGACATGCGGCCTGTCCTTTTCCTCGAGGCTGTCGGAACACCCCGAGGAAAAGGACCAGATGCAGCAGTCCCCCACCCTCGAGACCCCCGTGGTCCCCGTTCTCCAGTGCCACTGTCAGTGAGAAGTTTATCTAGAAACTCGTGGCAGCTTTCATTCACCCTCCATTTATCGCAAGCCCAGGATTTGGTTTTTACCCCTTTTGTAGAGCTTCTCCATATAACCCAAGAACACTCGAACTAAGATAATGCTCCCAAACATGTCTCATTCTGCCTCCCAGTCTCACTTCCACTCCTCCCAACAGCAGCCCTTGGTGCCTGTCAGGACCGTCCCCTCCAGCTTTGCCACCCATTTGCTTTGCTCCTGCCTCTTCCCTGCCTGAGGCATCCCCTTCACTTATCTTTTTTCACTCAAATGCTGTTCAAACAGCATTTTCTTCATAAAACCTTGCCTGATGTAACATGATACCTGCCTCCCATTTATTTCTGTAGCACGTCAGCCAGCCTGTGTTATTCGGAGGAAGATTCCAGATTCTTGATAACTACTGAAGACTCCTCCAAGGCCAGCATGTAGTCTGGCCCATGAAGTACTTGGGGTTTGAAGGTGCAATACAAGTTCAGGGCTATCACTCCCCTCCCACCCATCACCACCATAAACATCTACAATGAAACACTTATCATCCAAACCTATTAAGGGTCCCTCTGGGGCTGGAGAGCTTACCAGCTGAGGGTCCGGAACCAGGGTAGGTCATAGGAGTGGTAGACATTGTAGCCAATAGTGATAATCTCGTGGAAACATTTTATCTGAACACACATCACCTGTAGGGCACACAACAATTAGAACACTCCACGGCTCCCCAGTTCTTACGATCTTTGGAAACAGAAAACCAACAAGTCATGGGCCTTCGAGAACCACCACTGCATTTCAGAAAAATGGCAGTCGGACAGCGAGTCAGCTCTCTCCTCTCACACCACCCACGGGCCAGCCCCGGGTCTCACAATGAACACAGGCTCCTGGAGGGAGGGGAACACAGCGGGGAAACCGGGACAACTGTAACAGCATAAACAATGCATTTTTAAATGACAACAAATACATGTTCCCAAAGTGTCAATTAACTTTTTATCCTAGAACCTCCCAGGACTCAGTCCATTTCTTGCCTCTTGACTGTGAATACAAATACTTGAAAAGCCCCAGCTGCTGTGCTCAGCAGTCAGCTGTCAGTCACCTGACCCTGCCCGTGACGGTGGGAGGATGGAGAGGGAAGCACTGCGGATGGGGATTTCTTCATGGAAGGTCTACGCCTGTAAGTAAGGCCTCAGGGAAACAAGAAAACCAAGAATCAACGTGACAGCAGCAGGGGTCACAGAGTACAGTCAAACAGCTGAAATAATAAAATCAAATTTTAAAATGAAGAGACATCTTGCCCTGGCTGGTGTGGCTCAGTGGACTGAGCACTGGCCCGTGAACCAAACGGTCACTGGTTCGATTCCCGTTCAGGAAACATGCCTGGGGTGTGGGCCAGGTCCCCAGTGTGGGCCATGTGAGAGGCAGGCGATCAATGTTATCTCTCACACACTGATGTTTCTCTCCCTCTCTTTCTCCCCCCCACCCCTCTCTTTCAATGTAAATAAATCAAATCTTTAACAATAAAAAAATAAAATAAAAGGAAGGGGCATCTTTAAACACATACAGCTGGCCCAGGCCGGTGTCCCTCCACCTGCTGCTACAAAGTGAGAAGTCACAGACCCCTAAGGAAGAAATGCTCTGTGGAGCCCAGACCCCAAGTGACCCCCAGCACTGCCCCAGCACTGGCACCTCAGATGACCGATCCTGCATGAAACGCTGAAGGCCGAACTAAAATGACACGCAATGGCACTTACGATTATCATTAAAACCATTGGTCCCAGGTAAATGATGACGAAGAAAAATGCGATCATGGCCAAAGTCAGGATGCCTCTCACCCACCAGTTCTTCCATCTAAGTTAGAGAGGAGGGAAGGAGAAAATGCATGAGGAGCCCAGTGAACTGAAGCACAAACCCAAGGGGGACAGCTCTCCCCCGGGGGGCAGTGGAGGCAGAGGGGGGGGGCCCTGAGGCAGTCCTTTCCAGGAGCACCTCCTCACTGGGACAGAGGAACTAGCCCTTCGCTGGCAGGAGCAGGGCCACAACAGCCAATGCCTCACCCACACCTAACAGGCAAAATTCCCCAGGGAAACGTAGCGCCCTCTACTCCTGTATCTAGTTCAATGGCTAGACAGCGGTCTCTGTTGGGGGTGGGGGGAGCAAACCCTACAAACATATTTACTCCAGCAGAATCCTGCATTGCTCTACTCCTGCGTTACGGTGATAGCTATGTTAAACAGTGATAGCGACAGCTATCGGAATACACACCTAGCACCTTTATAAGGTCTTCACACATATTAACTCACCCAGCCCTCAACACTCTCCGTTTTTACAGATGAGGAGCTGGATGCGCTGGTCACACAGCCGTGAAGGGGTTAAGCTGAGATTTCTGTCCTTGGGAGCCTGGCCCCAGAACCCATGTCCCTAACCACTGCACAGCACAGCCTTTCAGAGGGACACATCAGGGAGGCACACAAAGACACATTTTTAGACAATGTTTTGGGGTCTTAGAGTTTGTGTTTTTAATCTACCACCCACAGCTGGCATTGGAGAGACCAGTCTCAAGGGACCAGAATTTCAACCCTGGATTCGCCCAAGTTAAGAGGTTTATCGGTCCTTCCAGGAGAACTTTTAAATGTCCATGATGAGTGTGCGTGGGAGAGGGGAAAACTGAACTGTGGAAACGTGGGCTCCTGCGTGAAAAGCGGCCCATCCATCAGCAGCAAAGCCCAGGGACCGTTTCCCCCAAACGCTGTGTCAGCGACCTTGCCCACCACCGCCCCTCTGTCCACCCTTTCCTCCTCCCTGGACTGTCCCTTCCAGCCCCAAGCACCCTTCCATTAAAGACCCTGCCAGGCTGTGCTCAAAGTTGCTGTTAAGAGGATGCTCAGTGAAGCCCTGGGCAGAAGCAGGGGCCTGTGGTCAATGCCAGTGGGCAGGCCTGTCCCACACGCTTTGACAGACGTGGACTCCCCCACGGGACCACGGGCTCTCTGAGGGGCCCGAGGCTCCCACGGCACTGGGACATGCCAACACGGCCCCCAACAAGCACACGCATCGTTGAGCCAGGTCACCTTGAAGACAAGTTGGAAAGGGCCCTGTTGAGGACCTCTGGGGTGTCGTCTACGGAGGGTGCCAGGGGAGTAGCTTCCGCTCGGCTCTCACTGTCCGACGCTGTCTCTCCATCGACCTTTGCCTCTGGCTCCGACTCCTACACAGCAGAAAAACAGAAGAGGAAAAGGTCACAAATGATGAGCAGGATACTGAGGAGTGTCTGCCTGTTACAGGAGAGCTGTGGGGGAAGACTCACGCTGGGCCTGAAGAAGTGGTACAATGGTCAAGTGACCTAACAGATGGGGCTCACAGCAACCCTGACACTTCTGACGTGCGCCAAGACGGCCGGCTCTCTACTGCAACAGAGACACCATGTGCACCTCGGGAGGAGAGCAACAGCCTCAATCTACTCAATCCCCATTGCCTGGCGGGGGGGGGGGGCGTCCAGAAGAGCGAGAGAGGGGCTCCTTTGTATCCAAAGAACGCCCAAGAGGGCAGTGACCAGATTTCACCTGGGCCTCATTCCTGATCCCACTACTCAGAGCTTTCATTTCTTAAGGGAATTTAAGATAATCGCTGTGAGAAGACTTGGAAGGGAAATCACATCACGTAGAACTAGACAGTAACAACACTGCTAGTATTTGGACAGCCCTTCACAGTTTTCAGAGCATCTTCCCCGCAGCTGCGAGCCCCGGAGCAGTTCTGGGAAGAAGGAAAGCGACACAGGAAGATCCCCAGGTACAAAGGAAGACGCAGGCTCGGAGCAGCTCCGTGGCGGGCCCCACCCAGCCTGTCAGCCCAGGGCCGTGACCTGCACGTGTTCACCCCACCAGATGTCCTTTTATGTGGCATCCTGGGGTCCACTGTATTTTTTTCAGCAAGAAACTCAAAAGGAACTAGAAATGGCAAAAGGATATTTTACCACAGCTTCAAAGATTTCATTACATACATGAGCAAACACATTTAAGTTGAACTAACTATTTAAATTTCCCTAATTAATAAATAGATAAAATAGAGCACTGTTTCAAACGGCCAGTAAGTGGCCACTTGGTATCTTCTTTTGTGAAGTGTCTGTCAAGTCACCGACCAGTTTTCTACTGAGTTTCCTGCCTTCCTTTTTCACTTTTCTTTTTTCACTGCTTTTAGAGAGAGAGGAAGGGAGAAACAAAAACACTGAAAGTGAGAAACATCGATCAGTTCTCTTGTATGCGCTCAGACCAGGGACTGTCTGCATCCGGACTAGGGACTGAACCCACAACAGAGGTATGTGCCCGGACTGGGAATTGAACCCGCAACTGTTCGGTTACAGGATGACACTCTAACTGAGCCGTACCAGCTAGGGTGCATTTCCTTTTCATTGATTTGCAGGATTTTTTCATACAGCCCAGACTTAAGTACTTTGTGTCAGTGATTCGTATGTTCTCCCAGCCTCCCCCACCCCGAACACTCAGACCTTCTCCCTGTCAGCACTGGCCACAGTGGGGACTTGGAAGGAGATCTTCATAATAGTCTGTTGCTCCCTAAAGATAGGAACCAAGACACCTTGTTCTCACGACATCCCCATGCCTGGCACACAGCAAAATACTTACTAATGAAGGATGGAAGGATGGAAGGATGGAAGGATGGAAGGATGGAAGGATGGAAGGATGGAAGGATGGAAGGAGGAAGGAGTTAATCCCAGGTATAGCAAAGAGATGCCCAGGCCTTGCCCTCATGGAAACAGCTATTTCTAAATTACATCACAACTGTGATAAAACCACTGAACAGAAGGTCTTTAGTACATGATCGCTCATACAAGACACAACTGGCTTTGGTAAAGGACCTAAACAGGGAGTCTCATCAATTGGATCTCGGGGAAAGAGCTGTAGCTTCCCATAATGCGGTCACGGCTCCTTACTCTGCCACAGCTGAGCCTGGTGGCTCTGGACGAATCACACAAGTGCCTGTGTACTTCAGTGTCCTTCCCTTCTAAAGTGGGCCCACGGAGGGCCCTCTTTACCTGTGAGGGTTCACTGAAGGGATACAACTGAACTCCCACCCAGGGCTGTGTCCCATTCTACCACCCCGAGAAGTTCTGAAACACAGCAGCACCTCCAAAATTATCCGTTTCCAGTTAGACTGAATGAAGGCATTCAACAGCTTCCCATTCTTTATGTTAACACTACCACCCACACCCCATCTGCATCAGTGATGTGAGATAAGGATTCTGACCCCAGCTGAGGGCCTTCCACACGAGAGCAGCGGCCCGAGGAGGCCTCCAGACAGAGGCTCTCCACACGCATCCTGAAGCCACAAGGGCCGGGCTGGAGCACAGCAGGCACACGCACACACCCTGTGTACATCACACACACGCACACACGCTGGAGCCCCAGCGCAAGGCTATTTTTAACTCATCCATCCTGTTGTCAAGGAGACTCACAAAGGCTGCTGGTTCCTCAGGCGAGGAAGGGCAGGAAGGAGCCAGGCAGAGCCAGGGGAGGGGCAGGAGCTCTGTGCTAATTCCTCACCCACCTCCCGGGCCTTCCAGGCCCTTTTATAACTGTTAGTCCAGCACTGTTCCCTCCACGACCACCAAGAGTGACTCCTCCCCGTCCTTGCTAGGAAGGGTGAGGTGAACGGGGTATCTCGAAGCAGAAAAAAGTGGACGGAGAACTCGTAAAAGGACACCACGGCTGCTGCTATGACCAAGAGGTCAGGGAGCCTGTGACGAACAACTTGGAATTTTAGTAAATGCCCTAAAGAAACAAGCCTAAAGGGGAGATTCACTCCCTAGGTTTTACCTGCCTGTATGCAAGTGACGCCAGGGCCCCAGGCCTCACCTGAGGCCTCTGAAAAAGAGCCCTTCATGCAGGCTCCTGCTGAGCAGGAGGCCAACACCTACACAGGCGACCCTTCTCCCACCAGCGGAAAGGCCAATTCCTGTGCCAGAGAAGGAAAGGGCACAGCCTCGGAGGACATGGATGGGGAGGGGGCGAGTCAGCCAGCCCTCTAGGTTCCTGACCCTCCCCTCATCTGCTGCCCCGACCCAACCAAGCGTCACAAGACAGCTGGCCAAGGGAACAGAAATAAAAGAACCCGAACAGGCCTAGAGCATCCTAGCTCCTCCCCACCCCACGGACGAAGGCCTTGCCACAGTGCCTGAGTAAAAGAGGCCAAGTGCTGGTGCAGCTTCCACAGAGGGCCCCGAAGGAAGCCAGGACCTGGAGCCAAGCTCTGCCCCAGAAGAAAAGCCTGTCAGAAGCCTAGCCTTAATAAGCATTCCCCTCCTAACAGGCTTCTACTCTGAAGACCAAATCATCGAAGCCGAACCAAGAGTCAGGGGTGCCCAGCATGCTCACTGGTTTGTTCCCCCAAGGGAAGGCAAGACAGGCCAACGGGATGGAAGACTTTCTGCAGGAGGAGGCAGCGGCCAGTCAGGCACAGGGCCCAGGGCCCAGGGCCCAGCTCTCTCGCTCGTTGCGTTCGGCACAGGTCCCTATTCTCTGGTCTTCCCAGTGAGGAAAGGACCCCGTGTCTCGGATGGTTGTTGGGACAATCAAATGCAACACCACTGAATGTGTATAAACAGTATAAAGGGACTGAAATACCCTTCACCCCTCGGTCCCCTTACCACAGTACACAGGACAGGAGCACAAGAACCTTAAACACCCACCCCAGGAAACCCGGGTACCCTTCCCAAGAAGGGTGGAGGGGGGAAAGCACGGTGGCCAGCAGACCTTGCTGAGACCCTGTGCTAACCAATTATGTGAGCCTGGCATCTGCCTGCCTCGCTTCCTCTTCCACACCTTCAGTGCATCCAATAGGCAGCCCCAATTCAAAACTGATCCTCTTTCCAAAGCTACCATGGAGGCGGAGGTCTGAAACACAAACGTAGCAATGCACACTAGTACTCTATGAAGTGGGCTGCGTGCAGAGCAATCTACTGAAGTGTGGAAAGAAATAGAACTTATTTCTATTTATCTTGTTCATATATTTTTCCCAGTGTGTCTTTATAATGGACCTATCAGTACGTGCACAGAACTTAGTTTGAGCAAGCTGGGGCGTGTGGTAAAAACACCACATACATGTCAGCAGCCGTGGGTGTCTCTTTTCCCATTGCACCAAGCAGTGTCTGGCACATAACAGGCACCCAAAGACTTGCTGAAATAATAAGATAATTAATTCCACTTGACCCGCCATGGACCAGTGTCCAGCCTGCACTGAGACTACGAAAGAACCCACTCTGATTTCCAGCTCACGTGCCAGGACCCGCACCATGGCCTTCACGATGGTCCCCGAAGCAGGACCAGACCAGTGCCCACTCCTGCCCCCTCCCTCCTGAGTTTGGGGTCTGACGTCCCAGCTCAGTAGTTCTGGGACCAGCAAAGGGCAGCAGGGAGAGGCTGTCTTGCTGCTTCAAGCTGTCTCAGCCCAGCCTCCACAGACATCCCCTCCTTCCCATCTTCCTTCCTTTTACCCTCCCTCCCTCCCTCTCTCCCTCCCTCCTTTTTAATCCAAGAGCCCAGATAAGAGGCTGAGTGTCACAGACCAAGTCTCTCAGGTTCTAGCTTAATCACCACTCATCCTCCCCCACTCCCTTATCCATTTCCCAAGGGGGTTGTGGTGCTGGTGTAAACAGGAAACAAAAGTGGTGCTTTAAAAGGAAGAGAAAGCCCTGTCTGGTGTGGCTCAAGGACTGAGTGCAGGCCTACAAACTAAAAGGTCACAAGTTTGATTCCCCTCCGGGGTGCGTGCCTGGTTGCAGGGCCAGGCCCCCAGTTGGGGGTGTGCAAGAGGCAACTGATGGATGTATTTCTCACACATTGGTGTTTCCCTCCATGTCTTTCCTTCCCCTCTAAATAAATAAATAAAGTCTTTAAAAAAGAGAAAAAAGCTCAGGCCTCCTTCCTGCTGGTTCACTTAGATCCTAGAGGGAAAGGCAGGCGATGACGGACACGTGGAGACTGCTGGGTACCAAGAGCTCGGGTGGGGCCTGTTGTCATTTTTGGAGAAACTCCTGCTCCGAAGGACACCCCGCCAGCCTTCCAGGGCCCCCCTCCCAGCCACAGCTGCCCAGAGGCCAACACCAGCACTGACCTGGGGCTCACAACAGCACAGAAGCCTGCCGTCATCAGAAGCAAGAGAAGGCAGCAAGTGAGGCCCAGAGGAGCAGCAGGG